CCGTTGAAACAGTTAACTGTCCCGACTGACTTGAGTCACTCCGTTATCGTCCCAATTTCCAAGGGAGGCTCACGATCGGAATACAGCAACCATAGAGGAATCAGTCTGATTTCCATCGCCTTCAAATTGCTTGTCTCTGTCCTTCTTCACAGAATGATTGGCTCTCGTGAAAACCAGATTCGGGAAGAGCAAGCGAACTTTCGTCGAGGTCAAGGTTGCATCGATCACATTTTCACTTTGCGTCAGTTGTTGGAGCACTGTCAAATATATTGGCCGTCCCCCGTTGTTGTATTGTTTGATATCACAAATGCCTTCGATTCGGTTGATCGACATGCCCTTTGAAACTGCCTACCCAGGAAAAGTGCGCCTAAGAAATATGTAAATATTATCCGAGCGTTGTACAAGCGTGGCTCGGGCAGAGAGCTTACGGCAAACTGTCGCTGCCCTTCAATATCTCCAGCGGTGTAAGGTTAAGATTCCCGCTGTCACTTTTGATCTTCAACTTCGCTATTGACGGATTCATGGAGATTGCGTTCACAGGACCCGACTTAGAAGGTGTGAAGCTGATCCCAGGCGAACGACTTCTTGACTTGGAATATGCTGGTGATATTGCGCTCATTTGTGACAGTTCCCAAACGTGCCAGCAGGCACTGGACAGATTAGCACTGGATGTCAGCCGTTTCGGGCTTTTCTTTGCACCCTCAAAGTGTAAAGCTTTCCTCCAAGATTGACAGGGACGTACCCTTGCGCTGACCTTTGGTTGGGAACAACTAGAAGTCGTTCAGAAATCCTACTGCCTATGCAGTTCTATCAGCGCCTCTGGAATCAAAGCTGAGGTTATAAACCGTAAAGCCAAAGCTCGAGATGCTTTTGCTAGTCCTCGCCATCTATGGCAGCGGCGCGACATCACTCTCCCCCGAAGGGTAGAGTGCACAATGCAGCCGTACGTTTGTGAAAATTGACCTATCATATCGACAGACGTATAGAGGCTAGTCACGTTTGACCACCGGTGCTTTCGCAGTTCCGCGTGAGAAATGATCATGTTCGACGCATTGCTTGTGACACAGGAAGAGGAAATGAACCGCTCAGCACCGTTATTTCGCGCACCACACTCCGCTGGCTGGGCCACCTGTTGTGTATGCCTTCACACCCACTCCTGCGACGTGCGTTGTTTGCTCACCGGTGGTGTGGATGGAGGAAGAGGGGAGGGTTCGACGGACAACATGGTCAAGAGGAATGACGGCCCTTACTTCTAAGTTGGCCTCGGTTAGAACCTCTCAACTCCCTAGTGGGGACCCGAAGGACGAGCACGTATAGCTAGATACACTTGCCGAGGGCTGCGAGCCAACCTGAGTGATGTTTGTGTTGTGAGTTCCTTTGTCCCTCCCCATTCTACCACCATCTCGTTCCTGAAACATTCTGTATTTTTTGCGGCAGTTCAGCCGGCTACTAGCTCTCCGTTACTAGTGGCTCAACTGACCTGTATTGCTGCACAATAGCTGTGTTTCCCAGCTAAGGTGTATACTGAAAGAGTAAGTGAGGCAGTCAAGGAGAGCTGTTTTGGTTCGGGCCAGCAAGCAAGTGCGTTTGCTGTCCTATGTGTGTATCTAGAGTCACGGAATTCTTTTCTATATCTCTCCTGTTGATCTTTGCTGAGTACTAAACACTATCAGAAATCACAAAAGTGCAAGAAGAAACCACATTTTGACAGGATATACTGGATTCAGTAATTTCATATGTTCTCAACTGTTTACAAACAATTTGTTAATAGAATAGGCTTCGTAGCAAGAGCGATCAAGTTGCATTGTTATCAGCGAAAATTTAAAGCGGTCGAAAATCGGTGAGATCACGTGACCCGGTCAGTGGAAACACGACACTAGCCTCACCAAGATAGGGCGAGGCTGGTCACGAAGTCCGTTTGGTTGCACAAACTTGGTTTCAACCGGCGAATCGCCGAGGCCTCAGCGAATTGAAGTAGACGGGGACTGCTTTGTTTGTTGATTACCTTAAAGCCACTACGTGGGTTTTCGCATACGGGGCAATCAACTACGTGGCGTGCATTAGAGCTAGTGGGTAGTTTCGGGCCATTTGGGACCATGTACCAGGAGACGTGCTCTGCAATCCTCGCGGACAGCTTTCTCTCAGTTCCGCCAACATACTTGCTACCGCAAGTACAAGTAAAAAGGTAAACGCACAAGGCGGTAACTTGAGAGTCCAGTCTGTCCAGTTTGGATATGCACAGCAGCCTCCTGACTTGGTACAATGCCACTAGCTGAGCCGCGTAATAGCATTTCTTGATAGAAGACGTTGCCGACATCTTCTGTCCACTTGGTCCCCTTTAAACAGCAGCGTGATAAATACCTTTTTCTTCGCAACATCTATTGATGGTTTATCTTTCAGTTGTAAGCTCGCATATCGCGCTATACATCGCTTGGGACATACATTCTTTTGTAGTGTCGAGGTGACGCGTTCCAATTCGCATTCTATAGTCTCCGCAGAGCAAATTTAACGAACTCTACCAAAAACCGTACGGACTAAAGCTCATAGGTCAGGAGCTATTAAAGTTCAGGTACTGTCCTGTCCATGTTGGTTTTCTGTACACTAACCGAACGAGTGTACCGTCTAGCTTTCTCTGTAAGTTAACATCCAAGAAATGGAAGGATACATCTGATTCATCTTCCATCATGAATTTGATCGCGAGATGGCACTTATTCATCAATTTCAGTAGGTATGTCGCCTGCTGAGGAGTGTCCACGACCACGAAGGTGTCGTCCATAAAAGTGTACATTCTGTTTATGATAATGTATTACGATGTTTTCCAAGTGGCCGATAAAGATATCATCCAAAACTGGGCCTTATGGACTGCCCATGACCACGCCGTCGATTTGTCGATACAGAGTTCCATTGAATCGGAACTGAATATCTTTCGTGCCTTAACGAAGTAGTGACTTCAGTTGGGACGCTGGGATCTCGACTTTATCAGCATACCTGGCTATTATATCTGGCGTTTCATCAAAAGTGACATTTGCGAATATTGAGCATACATCAAGGGAGACCATATACTTCCCTTTTACGTTTAAATTACATATCTTGTTGACAAATTGAGGTTTATCTCTTATGCTTTACCGTGACAGTCCCCTCCGGATGGGCTCGATGCGTTTCGCTAGCCGTCGGGCTAGTTTTTGATAGGGTATGTTTACCGTTGAGACGATTGGACGCAGAGAATGCCCTCTTTCTGAGTTTCTGGTAAGCCATACATGTGGGGAAGTCGAGATCCCCGAGGGCGCAGCTGTGTCATAGTTTTTACATCAATCAATCCCGCCTTCATTAGCTTCTCGGACTATTAACCTCCATCTGTTCAGTTTTATCGCGACCTACCACATCACGAACGAACTGGTTAGAGTCTACTAGCATTGTTTGAGCTTTCTGAATGTAGTCTTGCTTTTCTAATATTACAACTCCTGATCGCTTATCGGGTCTCAGTATTACCAGATTTTCATTTCGTCGCAACTGCATTCGGGATTTCCAATGATTATTCGTTAGAATTCTGCACTTTTCCGTTTCACTTGCACAGAACTGGTTGGCCAAATCAACCAATCTAGCTCTAAACCAGCAGCTTGCGTCCTTGTTTATAGGTGTTGGACTGGACACTTGATCATAAAGATACTCAAACTGAACTTCAATCCCTATTCTGTCTCATTTATTTGGTGGCACTGAAAAATGGAAACCCAGCGATGAAGCTTCAAGTTGATGACGATTCAGTGAGATGGTAGACAGATTTAACACATACTTCTCAGGTTCTAATGGCAGTAACTATGCTACTTGTGTGTTACTTTGTGTCTTACTTCGTCAAAACATAATTGGTTGCAAAGCAACTTAAAGGACCCAGTAACAACAGACTTTACTACTGTCTCGGGTATGACATACCACCTGAACTGACAGTAGGCGATTAGGTGTGGCTCCAGCCAATGTTCAGTGTTTGAAGAAGATGGAATCCAAACATGCCACGATGTTGATCAGAGAAAGTCTATGTTGCGTAGATTTATGTTGATAGGTCGTACTGTTGAAACGACGCCGGAAAAAACTGCGGACTGAAACCATGACATTCGGATGCTCGCATTGGCACAAGAATGACAACATACCAGACAACGATGACAGCTTCATGCGTCAAAGCGCACTGCGTATACTGAATTAGTGGAATAGGCATAACAAAATGCAAACTTATTATTAACGTAGCTAATTGCGATAGGTGATTTGATCAGAGGAAACGAACAAGGTAGTTAGTCGGACACCAGCCGAATTGTAATCGGTCAAATTGGACCTAACCATCCGTTTGGGTGGCTGTGCCGATTGTCGGTATCATTGCAACGCGACCCCTTTTCTCCCCATGATATATGAATAGCAGGTATCATCCAGAATGTCAGGCACTTTACTGCCTACATAGTGTTAGGGTCAAGCCGCTCTTCCTATAGGTATAACGATTGCCAGTTTAGTTTACAACTGCTGCTGTTGTTTCACATAATAAGTTCTACGGTTTTATTAACTTTCGTGTAAACTTCGATGTAGTGTTATGTACAGAGCACTCAGGCGACCTGCAACCTTTCAGACCTACCTACCAGCTCTCGTTTGGCCTGCAGACGTAACGTGTTGTTAACCCGAGACCGTAGAACAATCATTGACTGATCACAGTAACTAATCAATTATTCCGGTGATAACTTGCCCAGCCCTCGATTATGTCGTGTTGCCACCCCGAGACGGTTTCACGTAAACTGTACAAACAGAAATCTCTGTGAGATGCGATGCTCTGGCAAATTCGTCCTCTTTGATGCCTTATAAATATTGCTTATCTATCATGCAAATAACTTATTGATCGATGCACAGCCGGGCTTTTGCGTTTTGCTGTGCTGCATTACAGCAGGTCCGTTCTTGCAGATCATTCGCTATTCTACGGTTATTCGTATATTTCATCCCTAACAACTCACTTCCGTTTCCTACTCCAGCCCAACAACTTCATAAATGTGAACATTGTGAGAAATCGTATACACAGAAGGCCAATTTGCAACGACACGTGAAATTGTTTCATTTGGGTGAGCGTGTAATTGGTAAGGTCAATCAAGTTTCCTGTTGCCACCTTTGTTGTACCATTATTCATGTAATGCTCGAATCCGTACTTAATTGAGTCCACGGAAATATACACAGCTACCACAGATAAACAGCGTTTCACAACCTCGTGCGGAAAATTATGACCGAATTGCCAGTAGTCAGTTGTTTTGTGGAATCCAATAAATTAGCACTGCCTATATGGCCGTACTTAACGCAATTTCCTCACTTGCCTGGACTGCGACTTTAGCAGTTGTCTCTGAATAAACATGATGTGAATGCACCAACAATACGAATAGATGATGCTAGCCTCAGGGCTATGCTAAAGTTTCGTAAGCGCGTCTCAACGAGACTACAAATGTTGATGATGAGGTGTCATACGCATTTTCTCAGTCATTTTTATCCATGGAATAATCGAATCGCTACTTAAGATGCTCATTTTTCTTCCGTAAAGTCACTCAGGTTAGTTCATAGCTCAGTCACATTATACCGAGTATTTTTGCACACACGCGCGTACCACAGCGTAGTGACCACCTAAATCAGCCAAGTATACACCACGAAATACCAGCGTAGATGTTAAGCGCAGAGCCCCTGTGACACCGAACAATGGCGCTTTGGAAGGTGTTTAGATACGACTGGTTACAATGAGGCCAATCCTACGCAAGCTACCTGAAACTCTCGTGGACTAATTCAAGTGCTCGGTTCTTGAGTTTCCTGAACCTCCGCCATCAGCTCACCTGGGTGAGATTTTCATGAGCGCTGTGCGTCACCGCAAAATCACATTGGTCATTAAGAATGTAAGGGGTTGTTGCTTGATGAAATGGTCCAAATCACAAGGCCTGAGACGTCGAGGCAAGGCGGGGTCAACACAGATACGGGGTCCAGACCAACGCAGTCACGAACTTAGCAAACCAACACATAAAGGAGACAACGCGTCCGGAGTAGAGAGTTCGGCGCAGCGCACTGTGAATGGGATCGCAGAGGGCTTGAGTGAGCAGGCGTGATGTCCGTCTGAGGGGGTGGCTCACTTAAAGCGCGGAGGGCCAGAGTGAAGAATTCTTAGTCGGTCGCAAGCGAGTGACTGATTACCTCATACTCAGATTGCTTGGACCGGACGAAGTCCTCTCGTAAGAACACTCCGTGGTCGGGCCTCTGCGATCCGCAGTCCGCGTTGCATATCCTCCGAGCCTGCAAGCCCGGAATATCTGGTGGGTTGCTTTGCTTTTCTATGACGGATGATGGCGTACTCTGGCCTGACGGATAAGACGGTCGTTTCGAAATATTGTCTTGCGGTCTCTCTACCGCGAATAATTTGAACAGAATACTTCCACACGAAATTTTACGAACAATAACGATCAAGCACTGCGTCTTGTGCCACCGTGCACTATTGTCAAATCTGCTGGAGTTAACTTTCCTTACACGCGCGTCTCATGCTACGGTTCAATCTTGGGCTGAAGTAGTCAATAACGCAAAGAAGCGAACAATTTCCGACGCAACGGAATGTCTACCATGTGCACAACCTAACTGTTTACTGGATTCGGTGAATTATCGCATTGTCGAAGGTTCAACTATTCGGCCCCTATACGAATGCGACAAGATGAATACAGGACAGTTCCTGAGTATAATGACTTAAAGACCAAATTAAGGATTCGGACAGGTGTTTGTTTGCAGCACTGCAACTGTCTTTCAAATGAGATGTTGAACCGTCAGCTATTTCACATTCCTCCTCATTGTGCAAGCACGCAAACACCGAAACAGCAGGTGCACTTGGGCTATTTTATTGGAAAAGCTGATATGATTAGTCCCGTGCTCATGTGGGATTATGGATGGTTGCAGCTGGGGAACCATAGTCGGCCAGAAAGAATGAGTAGGCTGGATGAATGTTAACCTATGTTAGGGATGGGAATTGGGGCAACACTCTGATTTGGCAATGAGGGTAGCTCTGTATTGACGGCTTTTCTGCTGCTCTAAATGACTGGACGACTCCAGACTCGCGTTACGTTTCACATGTTGTTGCACTGTTCGTCTAGTGACTCATCATATCTGACGGACATGATTTGTTTAACGGAATGGGCATTTGGACCAAGGTGGGTGTTGGTTACCAGAAACAAATGTATTGTAGGGTGTGCAATCACTTTTCAGTATGTATAGGATTTCTTACTCAAGGAATCCGTCCGGGATATGAAGAGAACCTGCTATTCCTGACGTAGCTAACTGTTGTATACCCTTTTACGTGTCCGAGGTATATGGTATCTGGCACTGATTTACCTTAGGGTTATTATATCTTCGGCTGCATCGGGGACTGCTTCAGGTAAGTTCTGCGGTGCAGATCTGATGTTTGCTTATTGTTGTTGTGATATTAGTGGGAGATGTGGAATTGCTAATTTGCAGCATGACGCACTCTTTGGTTGTGCAATGGAATTCTACTATTTGGCAACTTGAGTTAATCGCAGTCACTGTGGTCTCATTGTTTGATGCGTGGTTTTGTATCTTTTCCGTTCAAGTGTCCTCCTCCATCAACGTGTCGTTTCACAATGGACTATTTATCGTTGCACATTCCGGAAGCACTTCTTGCTGCTGTAGCGGCCATTGTGTGTGTGTTAAACGGTGAATGCACTGAGCTGGACGAACGTCAATTTCCTGGTATCCATTTTTCGACTCAACCACTTCGCGCTCTTTCCTTGTAATCTACACTCATAATGAATGGTATACTCTAGCAGCGCATTGGAAACCATTGATCCAATACGCTGGAGATTCTGGTGTGAGCACAAAAGAGAAAATCTGTTTTAGCATTCCGCACGATTTGTCTCCCTTTTTTGCTAGTAAAAACGTATATTTCCCCATGGTATGAGAAGCTGTTCCTGGACTGTAGACAGATCATGGGTACCATAATAATCGTACTCATGTTTGCGTGAGATATCTATTCTGGGGTGTGTGATATCAAAATAATTTGAAATTTTTTTGTTGCTGAGTTTTGTATAGGATCTTTTCTCACTGGTTACCTATTCCTTGGTTTATTCTGGAAGAACTGGTGTGATAATTTACCCTATGGATATATGATCATTATGGATTTCTGGTCCAGGAATTCACTAAGCTGAATGCCGTGTGTTCTTACATTTGTGCAAGATCTGATTGTGGCTGGTAGACTTTTGCACACTACAGCGTGTCTGACGAGCAAGAAGTTGGATCGGATAGCTATCCTGGTTCTTGGCACACTTAATGTACAGGTCTTGTTGCGCATACTCCGAGTAAAGTTATGTTGCGATTTTAGTGTACACAGATTGGAGTATATCTTCTGGTTTATGAGATTGTGTATCAGCATCAAGTTATGTTTCAGTCGTCGAAGCCAAAGTGGTTCGAGCATAAGCTGCTGGCAGCACTCCTGATAACTCAAGGTGGTTGAACAAGCGCTTAGTGAATGATGTTTGCAAGTTTTTCAAAACTTTCCTGTCATCTATACGCATGTTCCCATACATGATGCTGCAGTATTCAAGGGCAGGAACTGTATAGATTGTATGGCATACGTTAAATGTATATCGCTTGGCACGTGCTATTTGCTACTCAGCTTTCTCTGCGAAATTAAAGTTTGAGGGGTATCGTATGTCTAGATCACACTTGGATAGTTTCACACTGATACGTTCATTGCTCAGTTTTACCGACTCTCCAGGGATCAAACATCCGTGTGACATAATGCATGATTTACTGGCTGAGAAATTTAACTTCCATGTGTCACACCATTTCTCAACTGAATCGAGGTCTTCTTGAACAAGCAGCATTGTGCTATGCAGTTCATCTCGTCGAAATTTATAAACAATCTTTATGTCATCGTGGAACAAAATAGCCTGCCTTGTTTTATGAACACTGTGATATCGTTACTTTAAAGTAGGAAAAGGGAAGGACCAAGTACACTCCCTTGGATGACACCACTAGTGATTTGACGTAGGAAGGAGTTATGATTACCGAGTGCCTATCTGGTAACGATTATATAGGTTTGATGTCAAGAAACCAAATAGTGGGTCTCTGATTCCAAACGACGCGATTTTTTTAGTAACCGCTTGCGCGACACTCTGTCGAACGCCTTTGGATATCCAGGAACAGTATTATAACTGCATATTTGTAGTTAAAGGCTTGTGTGATGTAAGCCAAATGGTGCAACTGACACGTTGTACAGGAACGTTTATCGAAAAACCCATGCTGGGATTTGTTAAGCAGCCCATGCCGATAAGTAGTCCATGATTCCAATTTTAATAAATTTTTCGAGTAATCTAACGATGACGGGAGTATGATAGATAGGTCGATACTTAGTTCCGTGCTGTTTGGACCCCCCATTTTTGACCAAGGACAATAAATGATGTTTTCCACTGATCCGGAAAGTAGCAAGATTCTAACGACAAAGTGAGCATGTTCAACAAAAGCAGTGATATGTCAGGTCCACCGATTATAATAACTGATGGGAGATACCATCGGAGTCTGGTTTGAGCGATAGTTTGATGGACTTCATAGCCTGTTCGATGGTCAAAGAGAAATCTCAACATTATGTATGACGCTTGTAGTAGGTTTCGGGCAGCAAGGTATAGGGTCGGTGTTTACGTTCATGGAAGCAGCGAAAAAGAGCTAAACGCTCCACAAATAGCAGGTGGGTCGTTAAGGTGACGACCCTCCTCATCAATCAGTTCTGCACTCAAAGACATCCGATTGTTAGTCCTATGACGGAGTAATTTGACCAGTTCCTTTATTTTGCATGTCACCTGCAAGACGTTCTCCTAGTTTTCGATTTGTTTCATTTGTGAGCGCTTGATACAGACGGTAGATTCGTGTAGCTGTAATATTAGTGAGAAGTCTAGTTTTTCTGCATTTCCCCGATTACTTTTCTCGTTTTCACGTCACCCAGCATGTCACTTACATTCTCCGGACCAGGAATGACACGTTTGTAATGTGTGACAAGCACAGTTATGATGCGATTGATCTGGTAGTAGTACTGCTCCAC